TGGACTGTCGAAAGCGGGATTCCCAAATTCTGCGAAATTTGCCGCTGACTTATTTCACCATCTGCTTGACCAACTATCCTTCCTCTAAGAAAACCTGACAATTCGAGAGAACCTTGAGTTGTAGGCATGTTGTAGCACAAGATGATTAGTGTGCGGACCATTTTCATGTATATAGTGCTCTGTGAACACAAATTAGTTAGCATAAATCAGTTAAATGACGAAAAAGTAGGTGTCTATTTACTTGTGACCACTCAGTGTAGATAGATTGTGGCCTTGTCCAACTGTCGCCATCTGTTGACGTCTTAACTAATTTAACTTCATGTCTTTTTGTTAATATTTGAAGTCGTGTAGCCTGCTTATCAAAACAGAATTATTTTGCTCAAAATTGTCCCCTGTATAGAGTTATTACCAAAATTTAATGCGAATATAGAACATAAAATAAATTATCTCTGCTTAACTGTGGGTATAGCAGTATATCATATTTTATTTCTCTTACAATCTGTATATTTACTTAATTGTCTATCAACTTATAAATATTTCAGTATATCATATTTTATTTCTCTTACAATCTGTATATTTACTTAATTGTCTATCAACTTATAAGTATTTCAGTATATCATATTTTATTTCTCTTACAATCTGTATATATACTTAATTGTCTATCAACTTATAAGTATTTCAGTATATCATATTTTATTTCTCTTACAATCTGTATATATACTTAATTGTCTATCAACTTATAAGTATTTCAGTATATCTGTCTATGATTTTATTTACCCGTCTAAATGTTTACATTTCTATCTATTCGTCAGTCAAATTACTTCTTTCTCAATGTATTTGACTGTTTATATGCATACATTTACCATTCTAACTAGATTTTAACCTAGGTTCCCTATATGTTTTCACGTAATTTCTTGAACACATAACAAAAGTGTGCGCGCACTTATGCGGGTGTGTGTTTAAGCGCAAAGTCTCATTGAATATGTGCGCTCTGTCGACCGCGGAGAATCGGACCTCGGATTTTAGCGTTATGAGTTTGTACACTTACAGCTGACCCACCAGAGGACATAATAATAGCTGCCAAATCAAATACACTAATTCGGTGTATGTTTTTCAGATTTGTGAGACACTTAATCTATCATTCTACACAAACAACCATTATGAGGCAAGGTTTAATCAAATGCTAGTAAACAGTAAGCTTTCAATGTTTTCGCTCTTACATCATGTGCAGGTATAAATCCATGATACCGATAATCTGAACCATTACAAAGCTTTGCCACTAATATATTGATATGCTGAGTTTAGGTTATTAAAACTAAAATGACATTTCTCTGAATTTAAGTGGTTATTTCCGATAAAATAATTTTTCAATTCTTACAATAATTATTTCTTTAATTTATTGTTCGAAAAAAAATAGGTTTAAAGCTAAAATTATTTGTTAAAAAAATAGATGGAGCCACAAGTGCACTGATTACTTGTAATTAAAGGTTTCCGTTTTTGAATCAAAACATAAAATACTGTTTTAAATCATGTATGTTGCTTTTTATTTTTATACTAGATATTAAACAATGTTAAGAATAATAATTTCTTCGGCGTCGACCTATTTCATCGTAACGCATCTATCGTTTTCCTACAACATTGGTCAAATCGTACTAGGACTAAATCACAGTTCGGTTTTCTCCTTGATTGTAGAAGATATGACTTAATTCCAGAAGGTCTAAGCAATTCGGTCAAATTACCGGAAATCCTTAAAGATAACACCCGAGTTACCAATAGATTAGAAAATTTGTATGTTCTTTGAGAAATGACCTCATTAGCGGCATGTTTAAAAAGAAATACAAACACGACAAAATTTGTGATAGGACTTTTAATTTGATTAAAAACGTTCCGAATGTAGACTTTAAGAACTGGATTAAAAACCAAAGTGATGTTATCAGTAGATTAGAGAAACAAGAAAGAGAAAAAACTCTGAAACGTAAGTTTGAAACTATAGTTAATGAATACTCATATAGTCACATCAATGAAGCTAAATCAGACGAATGTGAAACTCTCAGAGAAAATAATATAACTGTAGAAGATGGAGTTAACTTGGATGATGCAACTAAATCGTTACTCAGTCGAGGACCAAATTTTACAATTTCAACTAGATTAGATGATGACATAGAATTAGATATTTTATCGTCGTTACAACAAATTCCCACAAAATACGACAACGAGAAAAGCATTATTTACAAATCCAAGTTGGAAGTAGTAGAGATTCACCAGAGCAAAGAGAAGAACACCAACCGTCTGTTAAACCACTTTCGAACCCACCTTTTGACCATCATAAAACACCAGCAGTGAAAGGACAGAATATAACAGAAGACGCCATGACAGAACTTTCAAAAAAAGTGTCGACTAACTTAGGGAAATTTCATAATTACACAATGAAGCCTAATTTGTCTTTTCACGAGACGAAAGCTCTGTATAAGTTAAAAGGTAACACGAAATTTTAGTTAAAGAATCTGATAAAAGTAAAGGATTTGGGGTTTCAGCGAAGGATTTATACTCATTTATCAAATAAAGATAACTATTTAAAATTAAACAAATATCCTACTAAAACATTTGAAAGTAAAAGTAGAATTATTTTAAATGAATTAAAGAAAGGTTCTCATGTAGATCCACAACTAGTGAATAGTCTAAAACTATATAATAGTCGAGTCCCTGAATTCTACGTCCGTCATAAAGATCATAAGTCTGGTTTACCCCTTAGACCTATAACATCTACTTGCGGATTTCCCACAGAAAGTATATCGTGGGTTTTAGATAGACTGCTGCACCCGTTATTGGACTTGGTCCATGCTCATATTAACAGCGCATATCATTTTCTTGAACAGTTACATAATGACTCAAACCTTATTAATGATAGTTATATTCTGTTTACGATGGACGTTATTCAATTATATCCTAGTATCCCAACTGAAGAAGGGATACACTGTGTTATGACTATGATTAGAGAAAACAGAGATGACTTAGAACTTTTAAATATTTCAACAGATTGGTTAGGAAGAGATCTGAGACTTGTGTTAAATAATGGGTATGTAAGATTTAACGGATAATTTTATAAACAAATCAGAGGAATAGCTATGGGGAATAGGGTAGCAGTAGTCTTAGTTGTAATATTTATGCATATACTTGAACTGAAAGCACTTAATTCTTGGAAACAGGAGGAAATATTGGCCCATCGATCTGGTACAGATTCATAGATGACGTATTTGGAGTGTGGAACACTAATTTACAGTCCTTTTTCAGTTTCCTTGAGTTCTTGAATACCGTCCACCCTTTCATAAAATTTACACTTGTTTATGCCATACCAGATAGAAATTTACCGTTTCTAGATACTACAATTCATGTCAGGAATGGGGGAGATCATTACTGGTATTTTCAGTGAGCCTTCTACTAAAGCTCTTTGTTTACATTTTCACTCTCATCATCCTGGGTCCCTGCTGTAAAAAGAGGTGTCGTTATTGGCTACCTCCATAGAATTGATAAAGTTTGTAATAACAAAGAAATGTGGGAGGAGGCTAGGAAAAATATGATGACTCTTTTAAGAAAAATGTCTATCCACAGGAATTTATACAAAACATTGTAAGAAATTCTGACAGGCAAAAAGAAAATAGACATGTTCTTTTGAACCGTATAAATAAAGAAAACACATTTAAAGCTCAGGCTAGTTGGGTGATTTCATATATATAAGTGATAATATCACCACAAAACTAAAGAAAGTAATTAGAGCATCAGACTTACCTATTAAAATAGTACAAAAACCAGGTATCTCCATTAAATCATTAATAACAAGTTCAGCATACAAGAAAGAAACACGATGTATGAAAAATAACTGTAAAACTAGTAAATATGGACTACATGATACATGCCATAGTAAAAACGTTTTTTTTTATGTAGTAACTTGTGGCAGATACTCTGGAACGTATATAGGAGAAACTTGCCGACCCATCCATGATCGAATATCTGAACATGTGCGTGACATCCAAAACCTCAATATTAACAATGCTATTGCAATGAAAGTGTTCCAACTTGTAGGATATCGATAGCTCCTGACGAAGTTGTAATAGCAAAATATTGAGCTAATAAAGTTACATTCTGGAGATATAGGTCGTAATTTTTTTACCTTTATAGAAATTTCTCATAATAAACTCCAGTTTGCGTTAAACAATGTTAAGAATAATAAAACTTTAACTATTTTTACTTGTCCCTAGAGGTGCAAGCTGCAAATTTAGTCCACGAACTACATCAAAAATTAGATCCCGAATTTTTTTCATTTTAACTGAAATGCCACGCCCTTATATAATGATAATTACAGTACAATGTTCTGCGTGTTAACGTGATGCTTCTATGAGTATTATTCAGACCAAAGTCTATTTTATTAACGCTTGTCAATATACGTATGCCACACGTGCACACAAGAAGTACCCTATCATTCTGCGTAAGTGGCTTCCAAACGTAACTGTAATTTGTTCGAAACACTCCTACACGTGAAGACTGCTTCGATCTCGACATTTTGGGTTAATGAATGAACGTTTAAAAGTCATTGAAATAAAGATAATTATACTTTTCCTATGTCATCTAAATCCAACATTGATTTCTCTATACAAAACCGATAACGGCACAATGGTTAGCGTACTCTGATAGTGAATTCTAGGGTACATGGTTCGTGGTTCGTTGCCGCTAAAATGTGTTCCATATTTTGGACAGCTGGTGCGTTATAAGGGTGACGGTCAAATCTCACTATTCGGTCAGACCAGAGTAGCTCAAACGTTTGCGGTGCGAGTTATTTTTCCACTAATATATCGTCTCAAAATTAAAGGCACCAACTGAATGAGTCTAGCTTTCATATCGGTTGGCAAGAAAAATATTTTTATTTTTTATTGAATTTTTCGTTAAACTTGATAAAAGACTGGAATAGAACCTAAACCTACAATGGATTACGAATTTTTGTGTTATCATGAGAAATCAGTTGTGAAAGAATGGCCAACAAAGTTTAAACTATTTATCACCCATATTATTTATTTATTATAATCAACTTTCGATCAGTGCAAACTACCTATATAGAGCGAGTTTAAAACTTAACCCGATAATGAAGGTAGTTAACTGACTATACTTTTCTTACCTTTTTATTTATAAAGGTCCAATATTGCCAAGTGGTTAGAGGAGCTTGACTCCCACTCTCAGGGTCGCGGGTTCGAATCCCCATCTCATCAAATAAGCTCGCTCTTTCAGCTATGGGGGAGTTATAATGTGATGGTCAAGTGGTAAAAAAATATGGTGGTGATGACTAGTTGCCTTCCCTCAAGTTTTTCACTGCTAAATTAGGGACGGCTAGCACAGATAGCCCTCGTGTGGCTTTGCGCGAAATTCAACAACCAAAGCCAAAACCTTATTTATAAAAAGTATAAGGTATGGGCTCCCTCGTTCTTAAAGATTACATAGTAGTTGTTTCAGGCGTTAGGACATATTAAGAGATATCATATGTTTGGATAATAAAACATTCACTGTTAAAGATGAAAGTACTCTTAAAAACTATTATCTACTTCTATCAAGGTGCAGAAGAGTTGCACAGTGAGTGCTTAACATAAATCGACATTTCCTAGTCTCGTTCTGATAGTTATGTGTAAGTTGAATTTAAAATTATTTTGGTCAAAGTTTTGAACAACTTACAGTTCGACCATACTTTAACTAAAACTTCCCCTCACTCACTTCTTGTAAGTCCCTGTTTTACATTTTTCTTTACGCTACATTCAAAAGCACATTGTTATTATTCAAAAATTATTTGATGTTTTCCTACAATATCCATCAAACATGCTCGCTCTTTCAGCCGTGGGGGCGTTATAATGTGATGGTTAATCCCACTATTCGTTAGTAAAAGAGTAGCCCAAGAGTTGGCGGTGGGTGGTGATGACTAGCTGCTTTCCCTCTAGTCTTACACTGCTAAGTTAGGGACGGCTAGCACAGATAGCCCTCGTGCAGCTTTGCTCAAAATTAAAAAAAAAATCCTACAATATATGAAAAACATTCATACAACCTTGATATGGATGTCGTATTATTATCTAGATTACACATTTTCGTATAAAATCCCATACAAGTTTTAACATTCAATAACGCTAAATATCGAGTTTTGATACCCGCGGTGGGCGGATCACAGGTAGCCCATTTTTTAGCTTCGCGCCTAACAGCACACTACACAAATTTCCCCTCAAAGCGCGACATAAATAGATTAGTCAAGGAGGGTATTATTCGAAGTCAATGGTTGTTCCATTTGTCAGATCGTACACGACTTCATTGAATTGAAAATGCTTATTTATCACAGAAACATCAATAATTTTGTTAATCTCGCATATAAGTCATATAACATATTTTATTTTCCTTAAGTCTGAAGTATAGTCTTTCACTAAGTTCTGTATATAAGTTTCATATATAGGATTTTAAATTAAAACTAACAGAATAAAAAAAATAATTATCTATCTTGTATTATCTCATACGTATTTAATAAAGCTCTAACCCTAAAATTACTGACTTGCTTATATACCATTCACTACTGGTAGAATCTATATACATTGAATATTACATTTAGAAAAATATTTGTTGTTTTTCAAACTATACCACTCAGCATTTGGTTTGTTTGTTTGTTTTTGAATTTCGCGCAAAGCTACACGAGGGCTATCTGCGCTAGCCGTCCCTAATTTAGCAGTGTAAGACTAGAGGGAAGGCAGCTAGTCATCACCACCCACTGCCAACTCTTTGGCTACTCTTTTACCAATGAATAGTGGGATTGACCGTCAGATTATAACGCCCCCACGGCTGAAAGGGCGAGCATATTTGGTGGGACGGAGATTCGAACCTGCGACCCTTAGATTGCGAGTCGAGCGCCTAATCCACCTGGCCATGCCGGGCCATTTCTCAGCATTTGGATACACTCACTCATTTTCTATTTAAAATACACATAGAATACCAGCAATAATTAAAAGGATTAATTGGAATGTTGGCGGTATTTTTGTTTACTGGTTTACTTGTAGCAAATTTCATAAATAGTTTAGAAAAATATGTTGAAAAATGCCGATGTTGTCCGTATGAATTTCCATCTTTAATTGAAGGGTTAAGAAAAAATAAACAGATAAACCCACGTGTTCGTAACTGAAATGAAGATGCTTTGGTCTCATCACCCAATTACCTTACATGGAAGCATATAGAATATACAAAAATGTACGCACGATATTCTAATGAGTATAAACTGTTTTGAATACGATGTTCTCCCGAGTCAGTTGCAAACGATATACACTATATATTACACAACTTGTCTTAAACGATACATTGTATATACTATACACTATATAACATGCCCTATACGATATATAGTATATACTATACATATACAACATGTCCTATACGATACACAATATACAAAATGTTCTATACGATACACTATATATACTATACATTATAGAAATTGTCTTATACGATACACTGTATATACATATTCTGTACTATACACTATACAACCTGTCCTATACGATACACTATATATACTATACACTACACAACTTGTCTTATACAATACACTGTATATACAACATGTTCTACACGATACACTATGTATACTATACACTATATAACATGCCTTATACGATACACTACGCATCGTGTCCTATATGATAGTAATATTACATCAATGTGGCTTCTAAGTTTTTAGTTCTTCTACGATTTTTCAGAACCTAATGTTATTCTTTGCTTATATTGAAGTACGTGTTGTGTGTTACTATCATGAAAATTTAGAATCGCACTGAATATAGCACATATAGTGTAGTTGACACATTATTACATGTTTTTGTTTAATTTCGCGCAAAGCTACTCGAGAGCTATCTCGTCTCTAATTTTGAAGAGATAGGGAAGCAGCTAATCAACATCGCCCACAGGCAACTTGTAGGCTACTAGAATAGTGGGATTTTCATGTCACTTTTGTAAGGCATTTACGCCTCCAAAGTACGGAGCACGGAATTTTGTTGTTGTTGTTGTGGTGGTGGTTGTAACGGGGTGAGAACAAAGATATATTGGATCCTCAGTCTAGCACGCTAAGCACTAGGCCACGTTCGGCTCGGCTACAGGTTACTAATTGCGAAACTCTCGAGAGTACCAATGTGACTCAACTTACATAAGCTATAGCAGTTGTTGTTAAAAATTAGTTCTAGTTGGTTGCTAAGCATGTGGAATTTAAAATATTTAGACTATTATTAGTTATATAGTAAGCGTAGTAAGAAAGTAAGTATTTTTAACGTCTCTGTGCAACCCAAGATCTATGAACAGTTACTTCAGCAGCTTTAACAAAACTTAATGGGTTGTATATATTATTTTGAAAAGGTTAGGATTCTCTTATTTTTGATAATTATAAATCACACTGGGTTGTCCGTCCTCCTTTTTTTTTTTTGAAAGTCTCCCGGTGGGACAACGGTAAGCTTACGGACTCAAAACGCTAAAATCCGGGATTTGATTCCACGCGGTGGACACAGTCGATAGCTCAACGTGGCTTTGTTCTAAAACAAATAAATAGATTCTTTTGTAACTATTAATTCTAAAACTTATGAGTGAAAGCAAAGAAGAATATGCAATAACGTGTCAACCAGACTACACGTGCTATTCGAATTTTTCAGGTAATCTAATTTGAATATTTAGTTTCGTATATCTCAAAGTACTGAACGCCTTTATCTAAGTTTGAAATTGAAAGTTTTCTGTTAACTAGCAAAGCAACCACATTAATCGTGTTTATATTAGACACGTAATTTTGTTACCGATAAGCAGAATAATGCTTAACGTAATCCGTTCACTTCTGGTTCACTTCTGACGAGAAACATCTCGTCACAAAAAAATAAGGAATAAAAAGTATCTTTTTTTAGGATATCACTTTACAATATATATATACACATGTATACGTAAGTTATGTTTGCGTGTCTGTACATACTTATTGTTTCGTATTGTTCGGAAATAACAAGAAATAAACTGCTAAAACAAAATGTGTTATTTTTTAAAGTAACTT